AAAATGATGAAAAATAATTGTAAATACATAACTTCAATCCGGTAAAAAATTGTTTTATGATTAAACAAATGTCTTATTAATTTCAATACATCGTTCTAAATATTTTTTTGTCGAACTATCATTTATTTTTCTGTTTCTTCCGTCTGTGATTTTAAAATGAAAATAGGTCAATGTCACCGCAAAGACCGCCGCGCTGTTGCGTTGTTAAATATATAATAAATTTAAAATTTCTAAACCAATTCTAATACAAATCTACGAGTATTCAAGCTGTAAGATCATTAAACTAATAATTGTATGAACATGTAAGCTGCTTCGTCGTACTAAACTACTCAACAAATTTTGAAAATTTAATTTAATCACGAAAAGACAGCAATGTTAGCCTAATGGTTAGGCGTCAACCCTGAGGTCCTACGTTCGTACCCTAGCTTAGACCACAAAGTTAATGTTAATTTAGGTTCTCAATAATCTATTTACAACATTGACGACGAACATTACTAATAATTGTACTGTAAAGAAAAATATCAAGCAAACAGTTTCAATATTTTTCCTCTTTTTTTAAACAATAATTCCCTATACTTATTTTTGTCCATAGTTAACTCATTATGATTTATGTGATTATTTTGTATGTATTCTCGTTACTTTAAATAGTATTAAATATTCACTGAAAATACCAAAGAAAAACAAACTACAACATAACGTCTTAATATAAATCATTTGACAGAGTAATCAACGTTTAAAAATACAGACCTAATAATTTTATTTACGTATACTGTTATAGGGGATTAGAAATAAAAAAAAATTGTCCTGTTGTATATTTGCTCATTGGTACAACATAACTCATTAATTATTATACTAAAATAAGTAGGAGTGACGTCCCGTAATTTTTTAGGCAAAAAGTTGAGTTAGTAAATGTAGTTGATTTGACTAACCGACACACACCGAAGCTATAATAATATCTTGACGACAACTTAAAAGCAACATGTTTATAATTATAGATATATAATATGATTAATAACGTAAGTACTTGATATTACTTCCTACCTAAAGTATTTGTTTTAAACGTTTAAACATTGTACACCGATGAAATAATTTTAAATAAAAAGCCAAAGCGAATTTGTTGTAAAAATTTAAATACCAGCCACATGATATTGACATAATTTTAATAGAACTAATTCAATACTGAAATAAAGTTTTGAAAATGGAACACAACATCAAAACTGATAGCTCTATGAAGTTTAATCAATGACAAAACAAAACTAAACCTATACACAAACGAAGCCTCTTCTAACTTTTCCAATGGGACATTTTCCGGAAAGTATACCAAATCGATTGCCAAGGTCATCCTCTTCCTGTGTGCTGTCTTTTTCTTTAGTACTACTTGTCTCAGGAACCCATGGATACCCATCGTCATCAGGAAACATAATACGATCTTCGTTACTGCTTAATTTTCTTGAAAAAGATTTGTTTTGTGCGTCTCTTAAAACTGTACATTCACTTATGGACATATAAATTATTAAAAAAGCACTCAACTTGACTAGCGACATTGCTATCGTATATATTAATAGAACGAAGTGTTCTTGGGAGTGGCTTGTAAACAAGTGTGGTAAGCCGTCGTTTAATGCGTCAATATTAAGGTAAAGGACCCGTTATGTCTGACACATGCAGGATAATTAATCAATTATCCTGCATGTGTCAATCAATTATTATCTCTCTCTCTCAATCGAGAGAGAGAGGTAATAAAGTTGATTCACTTACAAGTACTTATAGTATACAAATAAACAAACGTAAGATTAATATAAGGCTAAAGTACATTGATACATAAAGAATACTATATAGCAAATAGGGAAATAAAAAATTGTTGTGGGCAATACTGGGGAAATTGGATTAAATAATCTAGATACTATTTCATTTTTATTTATGTCTAGTATTAATGAACATGAAGTATATTAGTTATTGGTATGAAGAAGGCCATCTATGGGGTTCTTAAGACTGGAAAATATGTCATGAAAAATAAATCAATCGTAAATTACTTTATGAACTAATTTATTATATATAATTTCAAAGATACAAATAACTTAAAACCTTATTATTATATCTTGCTTGATGAAATGGTTTTCAATTTTCTTTACGTTCACAACATTTTCGCTAATCGTCTGCACCAATTTGTGAGAAAGCTTCTTCTGTTAATAATTTTATTTCACTTGTAGGTCTATTTACATTTTTATCAGCAACTGTTTGCTTCATTATTCCTTAAATCGTTTCTATAGGATTCAATCGCCAAGGTGGGATTTTTAAAAGGTGCAATTTTATTTCTTCATCCTTATTGACCACCCTCCATGTAGCGCGCCGTAACGTTTTTCTGTACCCAAGTATAGTAAAACGTTTCGTGACTCTTTATACCTAAAAGTTACCATTATGTGGTGTAAAGTACCGGAAAGGCGAAAATAATATTAACAATAACGCGTAATTCAATCCCCACCCCCCAAATTCGTTAAGTAATACTTAACGCTCCTTAAGGCCGCAGACATGTATTTTTTTACTACTTCAAGTAGTTGACATTTACAGCAATAATCATCATAATGTTAATCATTTGCACGGAGCCATTCTTTTATATCAGTAATACCATTGGCTTGTGTAGGCGGTTTATTGATATGTACGGAATGATAACTAGCATTATCCATAACAATTAATGAAGTTGTTGTAAGATTTGGTATTAGCATCACTGTCACGCATTTTGTAAAATTGTCTTTATTCATATTGTGGTGGTAGTCAGCAGATACACTTGTTGACCTGCACACCAGACAACAATGTGGTACAAAGCCATTTTCTCCACCAGCGTTTACAATGATCCACCTTGCTGCAAGTGAAATACCTGAAATCTGAAAGACCTGCAATATCTTTTCTTTGTCAGCACTTATTCACGGAACATGAACTGTGAATGTAAGTTTCGTCTAAAATAAATCACATCCAATTTATTTATGCTCTTCAGCTTCGCGGTTTTCCTCTATACTCTTCAAAAACAAATCTTTGTAGTTTTATGCCATCTCTTTCCATCAAAACGGTTCTTTTTGATTTGTATTTAACATATTCTAAACTAATCTTCTTAAGTATAAATGTGTAAAAAATAATAATATTTAACATGTTGCTCAAACGATAGCTTATTTATTCGTCCCATCCCATCCAGGGCACAGGCCTCCTTTAACGAGGAGAGTGAGAGGGATTATTACTTAAAATTTTTGTTCAGATCAGAGAATCTCTTTCTCCGTTGAATTTAATATCATGTCGAAGAATTTGTAACAGTTTCATTACTATTGGAATTTCCTTCAGAACTGTATAGAAGGCTTTTGCTTTATTCCCAATCAACTGTATATCTCAAACTGTCTCAAATGTTGATTTTCTTCTGACCCCTTGTCCTCTTTTTACCAGGCGTGAAAAACACACCATCATTCGAAGTGCCCTCAGCTACGATTCCCCGTATAGGTAGTACTACTGGAAATCTCAAGTCACAATTATGTACCGAAGAAAAATATTAAATAAACTATACGTATCAAAACCACTCAGTCCAACTTAACAATCAACTCTACCACGTGCTTTAAAATCAAAGATTGAGTTTGATTTAAACCTTCTTCTTCCTTTATTTTACGATAAACATTGAAAACAATATTTCTCATATGAAATCGAAGTAGCTTTTTCGACATTTTCATCACTTTTTAAAGGAAATTTGAAGCCAAACCAAAAACATTTCCTCGAAATTTCAGTTGACAGATGAAATTTTTCTTTTATTGCAAGACATTGTGTTTTCAATGTTTATCAAAGAATACTTGATCAACAAGATGCAGAACATACACAATCATCGATATTGAGCCACGTGCAAGCGTTGACTGGTTAGTAGGAATGACACGTCTTGATATTTTGGTTTATGAGATTTTTCGTGTGTATTATATTATGTACTTATACTAAACTTTGGTTTGTTTCAGGGGTTTCTTATACTACAAATAAGCTTGGATAGTTTTTATTAAGAATTGATCAGTAACAAGATAAATAATTTTTACACTGTTTCTTTCTCTCCAATAGAGATCGATGAATGCCGAAAATCTTGTGAACATGTAATAAAAATTGAAAATCAGTTCATAGAACAATATTGGTTAATTGAGATGCAGGAGGAAAGGTTTATCATAAATACTGCGTTGAAGACTTTTTTATGGATGTGCAGTATTTGGAACAATTTTCAAGTTCTTAATTAATTAATAAACTCATGAACAGAGTAATTGGAGTTTTCATCTAAATTTCAAACCCCACATTCGCCACATTTTCAAACATTATTTTTGATCATTGGCAAAATTTTTATATTTTCATGTATCACACACAGAATCAGCCGCGATACGGAAAAACAAAGTATCAAAACGTTTTACGCCAATTTCCCCAGTACTGCTAGCGTCAATTTCTTTTTTCCCTTTTTGCCATCAGATCCTGGTAGACCTAAGTATAATAATAAAATCCTACCAATTATAATATGGTAAAATGAGGTATAGTTTATAAAATTAAATATACAGTAAAAAATTGTCTCAAATTCAATGCCAACATCCAATGACACTGGGAGTGTCAAATATTATTGACACAACTGTCAACGTCAAGTTCTAATCATGTCCCTAATGCACTTTGATGTTTTGTCATTTGTGTTAGTTTCAGTATGAAGTGTTTAACGAATATCTATTTCAATTATTTTTAAATCAAATGTTCAAAAATTAATGCGATGATCTCATTAATTTACACAAACACACCTATATACAGCGGGTATTGATTGTGAAAAGTGGTAGTTACGTTGATCATCAGCATAAAATCTTAACTTCTCAAAGATTTTAATTATTTTTAAATCAAATGTTCCAAAATTAATGCGATGATCTCATTAATTTACACATACACACCTATATACAGCGGGTATTGATTGTGAAAAGTGGTAGTTACGTTGATCACCAGCATAAAATCTTAACTTCTCAAAGATGCAGCAATCACCTTTTGAAAATATTTTTAATATTATTGGTTTATCTGAAAGCAACGAAAAACCTATGAAACACGGTTTTTACAATGCCTTTGCTTTATTTGTTTTGGCTATATGCTGTGCAGCTATATACGTTCTCTTTCTTATATTAGAGCCCTTTTTTAAACCTTTATTTTGGGCTCTTCTTGTCGGCTCCTTGCTGCATCCATTTAAATATAAATTGTCTAAGAAAATAAAGACCTGGTTTGAAAATCTTGAGAAGACAAACTCTTGTGTAGTAGTAGGATTATTAGTTATTCCTGTCAATGCTGTGAATTTTGCCTCTGATTTTGTAGGCAATCAGTTTAAAGAGCACTATAGGGTAAGTTTAATACTTAGGAAAAGAATGTAAATTCTTTTACCAAGTATCTTTATGTATTTCATTTAAATTAAATATATGATAAAAATTAAAAAACTAAAAAACAATACTTATATTGAATATACTTCCTTTTCAGTCTATAATATGTCTCCTATCAACAATATTTGTTCTGCCATGGTTGTACAATTCAATTCCTAGGAGTTTAGGATGCATATTTTGGCAATTTATAAGCTTTGTAAGCATTTCGACAACAGTTCTAATTAGCCTGTGTACATCTAATTTTGTAAGTTTGACTTTTTATTACTTTTTTTTAAGAAGGGGGTGTAAGTAGAGGTGTAATTATTGTCTATACAGAAATTTCGTAATTCCATTTGTAATATTATCTACGTATCATTATTTCGTAATTCCACTTGCACGTCGATCAATCAGTCGCCCTAAAACCGCCATGTTAGTCAGAGGACTATAAAGACAGTGAATTCTATTTCGGTTTTCATTTGGTGTACCTCTAACACTAAAAACATAATAAATAAATTCAATATACACTTATTTGTTAACTTGAACACAAATTTAATTGTGTGGATAAATGCATTTTTATCCACACAATTAGTAATCAGAGAATGCAGGATCTATTTGTTACCATGTCTTTTTAAATTGTTTTTCAGACACTTACAATAGCAATAGCTTACACTATAAGTGTCTACACAATATGGACTCCCGAAAGAGCAAGTATTTTTCGATGTACATCACATGTTCTATGGATGACAATAACATGCTACCTTGCAAGTTTAGCAGGAGACTACAAAGTTTATATGTTTATAGTACTTCAGGCTTTTATTGTGACTGGGTTTATTCTGGAAGTTTTACATTTTCATAAGCAGATGCTTGTAACAGGTACAAAATACTTTACGCGTCTAATATCTCTTTAAGATTTTCTCATTATTTATTCTTAATAATAAAATAACTTTTTTTGTGTTCTCAAAGATTCCCTTTCACTTTATACCATAGCTTTTTATAAAAAAATATGTGTGGCACTCGGGGACTGCCGCGGTAAAGCTATTGCATAGCATTTTTTATAAACTTATGCAATATAATTATTTATTTATTTTTTTTCTTTGATATTATATATACATAAGAGTTATTTATATTGCATTACTATATTTCAGATCCAGAAGCATCCATTTTCTTAGCTATTCAAGGCGTAATAATAAATGCATCTATAGAAGACAAGAAACTAGCTGACACAATTCCAGAAGTAGATGAAAAAGATTCAACATCTGAAGACCTATCCCCAATAACTCCGGATGTAAAAAGGGGCAGCTTCAGCAATTTACATAGTTCACCCCAACATGCCAGAACGCTCTTCAAGACACGAACACTATCAGCTCTTCCTTTAACAAAACCAACTGCCTTCGAAAAACGAATTACTTCATTTAAACAAAAATCACTTGATGAAAACTACATACGAAATAATTTTACAGATGACGAAACCGCTTTGTACTTCAAGCTTTTGTTTTTTGGATGTTTTTGTATGTTGGTATGGAAACATATATGGCTATTACCAATAACACTGATCTTTTTAGCCATACATGTCATAAAGTATTTACTTAATTTCTTTGGGGTCTGGCTATTCTTTGAAAATCACTATAATAATGTAATGTTAAAAATTAACTGCTGGTGGAATAATAGGTAAGAATTTAATTGTTTAAATATAAAGCATAAAATATTATGCATACATAACACATATTTTGGCTTCCATTTTTAAACTCTGTTGAAGAGAATGGTTGTAATTTTCACACCTTCTGAAGATGTCTTTCTATTTTTGTGTTTTTACAAACAGAAAAAGCTTTTTGTTCAGAGGGCTAAGTAAGGTCATGATTTTATCAAAATCAGTTTAATAACATTATATCTTTAAGAATTTACAAAGCCGAGAGAGATATATATATATTTCTTATTTGTTTGTTTAACAATAATTCTTTAAGTTTAGTTTCTCTCATTGTTGCAGCTGTGGATTTACACGTTTTCTGCCAGTAGGCTATTACATTTTTGCCGCCCCAACTAAACGCTGATATTGCAAATGGGCAGGAACCTAGCATACAATCAAATTAATTAAATTTTATGTCAATTAAATTGAAATTTTATGATTTATACATTATTGTCAATATTACATCAGCGTTTTCGTTTTAGTATGATTTCCAACCAAGGACAATAAAAGCTAATTATACGCTAATTATAAATATTTTTGTACCTAAAATTTACGCTGGGCTCCAACTTACTTAGCCTTCTGGTAAATCCGTTACTTATTATGAAGTAAAAAATATAATTTTATTGATAAAATATAATTTTTAGGCAATCCGCATTGATTCCCGGTGAAATACGCGGTATACGTAAGATGATGTCAATGTGCAACCGGACCTTTATAGCAATGGCATACGAATCAGTCGATACAGTATCTAGTTGTATTGTCATTATAGGACTTATTCTTTTTATGATAGTTGCTACCATCTTCATATGTATACAAGTAAGTACTCCAACGTTGGTCTAGTTTTTTTTTTTTACTTGGGAAAAGGCATTGCGCATACCCTACCGCGGTGCGACTGCTTAGTGCGGGAGGGTTATGTGGGACTCGCACAATCGCCTTAGTCGGGATGCGGTAACAGCAGAGCCTTATCCGCTTACCGACATGCGATGCGGCGGTTGCGTCCGCCTCTCCCCGCCCATTGTTGATTTGGAAGATACTTGACACAGCAAGTATCCTTCACAGATCGGGCCTTACGCTTTAGCGTTGGTCTAGTGGCTTAACCGTGCGACAACCCTGACTACGTGGGACACAGGTGTGCACGAATGGGTTTTTTTTCTCCATTTCTGCAATTTTCATTTGCTCCTAGAACGCTCCAAGGCAAATATCGTAAAGAGACCGCCATATTTACGACTTGTCAGGTACATCGCCTACTTGTAACGCGGCCAATATATAAGGTTTTAGCGTCACTCGCTTATTTATTAAATAAAGAGACTGTACCAGTCAGCATTAATTCTATAAATGATAGCCCTATAGGGAGCGATGTCCAACTCAGGTGTCTATTCTATAACATAAAAAAATCTATGGGAATGATATTTGCTCACGTTTGATCACGTGACCATACATCTTAATTTGTTTTAGTGTTAGGGACCACAATTATAGTGAAAAAAATATTTTCTTCAGTATAAGGAATCTGAATAGGGTCACGTTGACATCCTACACTGCCAATTTGTTGCTGCAACCTGGCTAATATTGTTTTTTTAACTAAGACCCACTCGGGCCACCAATATTTCTCAATTTCTTCAGATTTCGGAAGAACAACAATTGAATGCTAACCACTTAACCAATGAAGTAGTAAATGAATAGTTGATATACCCATACTACTGTAATATGCGTAGTCTACAATATATTTTTTATAGATGAACCATTGTCATATTGCTAGCCATTTTAGTACATTAAATAATTCGGTTCATGTTGTTTTAGATATATTCAGAAGCAATAGTGGTTATACAATTAAGTGGGAGTCTCCTTAATAGTACATTTGTACAAAATAGTGTCATTCACGCATACCTTCCTGAAGGGTGGGAGGATAAACTTGATTCACTTATTGACAACGCCTACACATATGGACGGGAGGGAATATCTACAGGGGTAAGTATTCGGAATAAATATTACATAAAACTTACCACAACCTATTGATGCCAACTTGGAGGTTTACCCCCCAAATTAATCATCAAGCCCCCTTTATGAAGATATCCAGGGGTTTTTAGGGGGTAATTTATAATTATTTAAAAAATGCACAAATTTATATTAAGTATCGAACCCAACCAAGAAACTAAAGCGTGGCTATATCTGAAATACCAAAAAGTTGTAATAACTCCAAGATCGAACAGGTATTTTATTAGTATAAAACAGCTGTTGAATGTATATTTAATTCATATATGAAATTACCTCTAAAACGAGTCTACAACAAAAACTAGGGATTTTTAATCGATATTTAATAGCATTTGGAGTTGGTCCTAAGGAGAACATTCTGTAGGAGTTGGAATTACTGCCATATACAATTAGAAGCTTAATAAGGTTTTACTTAGGGTCTCATAGCCTAGCGGTCTTATTAAGTGGCAGCTAGGTGAGGGGTACCGGTTTCTATTCCCGTTTTGAGGGCAAGTTTTAATTTAATTTAAATTTGTTCTCGGCCTTTGGGAGGGTTGTGCGGTACCGGGCGAGTGCTTAAAAACCGTACATGGAGGACACGGTCGAATTTCTAAGGCAAGCGCGAATTATAAAAAACACACCGTGCCAGAGCTAAAAAAATAAAAGTTTTACTAAGATTACTAAAATCGTTAATGGGCCTTCGATTAAATTGGACAGTTCTTAAGATATGTTTATTAATATACCAGATACAGCAAATACCGTTAAGCTAAGATCTAATAGGTACCTGTCAACTGTTAATAAGACGAAACAAAAAATCGTTTAAATCAAATATGCTAATTCATACTCGTAACTAAATGTACATTAGCATGAACTATACGTAAAATCGAATAGTTATAATAGCTACGAATGTTGGTTTTCTTAGAATTTCTTTCAAAGACAATATTGTCTTAGCGTTTTTATTCTAGTAGAAGAAAGAATGACAAAATTTTGAATATTGTGAATTAAAATGCACGTTTTGGAATATTAATAAGTTCGTTTAACTTCTTATAACTTCGCTTAGTAATTAATTTCTGTTGTTTTTTGCTGCCTGTCGGATTTATATTAGACTATGCGATATGTAAGTTACTTTATACATAGTTTTGTTGTGCACCTCATTGCGGCAAACAATTATGACATGTGTATTTTAAAATGTTATATATTATTACTATAAAAAACCCGAGAATATCAGTAATTTGTGAAAAAACAAATGAATTAAAAACTTAAGACGTTTTCTCTTAATTGACATAAATTCTGCAGCTATTGATGATGTTTTATTAACAAAGGCCATTAAAAACTCTTAAGGATTTTTTAACTATTACACAGATCATGATCGTAACTTTAACTCAATAGAACATTTAATACAACGCACGTATAATGTAGTGAACTGCATCCAAAACATCGAAACACTTCTTAGTAGTTCACAAGTTAATAAATTTGTAGTTAGCTCATAAGGGAGTGTTCAAGTATTACGTAACGAATTTTGATCCTTTTGTAAAACGTTACGATGCGAGGCGGAGATGGAATTACGCGTTATTGTTAATATTATTTTCGACTTTCCAGTACTTTACACCACATAATGGTAACGTTTAGGTATAAAGAGTCACTGGGTGGTCACGAAACGTTTTACTATTGGGTACAGAAAAACGTTACGGCGCGTTACATGGGGGGGGTGGTCAATAATTTACAAATATTGCGTGACGTAATACTTGAACGCTCCCTAAGGTTAAGGAAAGCCGCATGCCTTGACTCAAAAATCGACGACGTGTGTCACAGAAGGCTGATCACCTACTTGCCAAAAGTAAGTCTCAATGAAACACGTAAATATCTGCCCCGTTGCAATTTGTGGGTGAACTAAAACGATTTATCAAATATATGGTACTGATGTCAAATACCTTCAAATCAGGTGAAAAGCATCTTAAAAGAAGGGGATCCTGAGAAGATAGCAAGAGTAGAACAGCAAGTGTTAGAGATCTGGGACCGTGTCTACCAAAGTTGGGTGTCTGGACACTTTGCGGCAACTGTAGGACCACAGGTGGATTCGTCTGCTGTTCAAGACTCCTGGGACAATCTTGTCAGTAATTTTACAGAGGCTCCAGGTGTGTATTTACAGACAGGTTTATGGAGATGACTTCTTTAAGTGTGAATATGCGTTTTTAAAATGTAATTAATAAATTATGATTTGTAAATACATATATAAAAAAAATCAGTGGCGCTACAACCTCTTTAGTTGTCTTGGCCTCAGATTTCTGAATCTGTTTCATGGTCATTTTTAAATCTAATAGGCAAGAAGGTGATCAGCCTCCAGTGCCTGACACATGCCGTCGACTTTTTGTGTCTAAGACATGTCGGTTTCCTCACGATGTTTTCCTTCACCGTTTGAGCAAATGTTAAATGCGCACATAGAAAGTCCATTGGTGGACAGCCGGGGATCGAACCTACGACCTCAGGTATGAGAGTCGCACGCTGAAGCCACTAGGCTAACACTGCTCTTAATTCATATACAGTATTCATTGTATTAAGACAAACATTTATCGCATTTACATTATGATAAAAACATCGTTAAATATTAATTACTAGAAAAACAAAATAAGAATAAATTTAAAAATTCGTCCCTACGTCAATAATTTTTTTGCATTGCATTTGTTTTTTGCTTACACATATTTTTGCGGTAATGTTCGTTAATAAATCGATTAGAAACTACATAGGATATCTAGTTGGCCGGTGCTGAAAAAAAGTAGTTAACTATTCGGGAATTAAACTTCGTCGCCGGCGCTATTAAGATTTATAATTATTACCTAACAAGAGATTAAATTTCGTAGTTACGTTGGACTTTGATAAATAGTTTTATTTACTAGATAGAATTTAATGCATGACCCAAAATTAACACTTGTGTAAGATAAATGAAGTTAATGAACTATTATTTTAATTTAAAATGAAAAAACCGTGTCATACTATTCTTCTTACAATATTTTCAGGTTTATTCGAGGGTATTGCGAGCTGGGTCCAAGCGAATGTGGGTACTTTAAGCGCTATTGCGACTGGTATATGGTCGCCACTTGCGAGTAACGTGTCCCTACTTGCCGGTTCCATTGGAGCCTTCACGTCTATACTGTTTAGTGGGGGAGGCGCTATTATTAGTATGATTATCAACTTGGTAAGGAATTCATTCTTTATTTATAGCATATACGTTTAACAAGAAATATTATAAAAAGTGTTTCTTAAAAATACCTTTATAACATTATATTATTTATAATATATAATTAAAATCACTAGACGTAAAATATAATAGCTATTATAATACAAAAGTACCGCCTACGCAGTTCCAAATAGCAACGTTCTAAAATAAAATACAAATTGTATGAAAACTCGATACGAGTACTTGACGAAATAATTGGTTGATCCTGATTGGTCCACCCTATTGACCAATCACGAGCGATGCAATGATTTCCTTTTTTAAATGTGTTGTATGCGGAACTGTAATTGCACAAATTATTTCTAATTGCAAATGATTCTATCTCATATGGCGCTTAAACTAAAATGCTTAAGTATCAAATTAATTATGACTTTTAATATATCATAAGATATAATTTAATGCTCTCACAGCCAGTATTAAATAAAATTATGGCAAAAATATATCGGTAACTAAATAAAACGTTTTTTATAGGTGGTATTTTTCACAACGTTATTCTATCTCTTGGCTTCGAGTAACGCATTATACAAACCAGTGGAAGTAATTACTCAAATACAACCTAACTTCGGGCCCCGTCTCGGCATCGCTCTCTCCGTTGCTATAAATCAGGTATAACTTAAGTAGTATAAACTAATATATTTATCGTTTATTTTGGCAAATTCTTTGCGACTTCAACAATTATTTTTCGGTCAATTTGTATAAAACACCATTGGCGCTACAACCTTTTAGCTCTGGGCCTCAGATTTCTGTATCCGTTTCGTGATATTTTTTTTAAGAGACGAGTAGGAGATCAGCCTTCTGTCTGATACACGCCCTGTTTTCTTGTTGACCATGATATATAACTATAAATAACCTTTCAGGTGTTCCGAGCTTCATTCAAAATGGCGTTGTTCTATGGTTTATGGACCTGGCTTGTTCATAATCTCTTTGGTGCCAAAGTAGTATATCTACCTTCTGGTAAGTGCCATGAATTGATATATTAAGCACTTTATCGCATAAATATAAATGTAATCAAAGGGCAACGAATGGAATAATAAAAAAAGGTAACAAGCAATATCCTTGCCAGGCTCCCAGGCGACTATTTAAATAACGAGTGATAGCTTACGCGTTCATCGCGATACTAACTTTAATTAATGATAATACCAGGTTAAAAAAACGGATAATGTCAAAAATGATGATAAATTCAAATTAAAAAATCATTTAATCATATAGGTAACACATTGTACACTTATGATCGTCAAAAATAAGAAAATAATGTATATGAAATGCTTCTAACTTTACATTTAGTGCCACTTCTCAAATCAAGGGCGTAGAACGGAAGAGAAGGACTGGCAATAAACTCTCCGCCACCCTTTTTAATCGCCATGTTTTTTTTCTTACACAACGTTTGTAAGGAGCTGCAACCATTACATCATGTTCCACATGACATCTTAAGTAATTAATAGTAATAACATAAATTAAAAACAAAGACTTGTCCTCTATCAGCAGGAGGCTTGGTGAAATAGGAGCACGCACTTACATTCTCGTGGGAACAACACGCAAACACATAGTCGAAATAACTAACATCACCGCATACACGAATTCAATTACGACCTGTCACCACAAGTAGCACCCGTTCACGAGTATGACGCATGGCCAGCCATCGGCCCCCTCGCCATACATACATTTTTAAGAAATAAATTTACTGTCAACAAATTTACTGTCAACAAAAGAAACAACATCTTGTAAACGTTTTTTATCAAGATTATGATTTAATTTTGCATTTGTAATTGGGTAAGACGTTATTACAATTCAGGACAACTTAACTTTAATTATGAAGCTATTTTATTACTAATAAACATTGGGCTTTTGGGAACGTGGGTAAAGTCAATAAATCAGTTTCTTGAATAATGACAAAGATTTATTTATTTTAGCAAATATCTTGCCATTACGGGTCACCCCAATGCGGACAGCATTTACACATATTACTACATACATACAAAACAATACACACACACTGAACAGCTTGCTAGTTAGTGGACTGTGAAAAGTGTGTTTAAAATTTATATGTAATCAATGTCAGGAGTATCTGAATAGTATATGTAATGTATGTATGAGCAAGCTGACTAGATGACTAAATATATGAGAGGGTGAGATGTAAGAACCTAACAACCCTACGGATCCCCTACAACGTACCCTAACACATAAATAGTGAATATATAAATATATAAATAAGTACGGGATGTCTGCACCAAGAGACCTAAGGTAACCGACGGAGCCCTACGGGTAGGATCAAAGGTTCGAGGTGGTGGGATTATCTCAAAGCTACCGGGCAGGCTCACCACGAGAATTAAGGGCTTGAAGTAGTCTTCGCCACTTTGAGAGGAAGCGAGAAATGAACAAGAAAGAGCAATATTCAAATCTGATTTATTGTTATAAAACAACATCTAATAAATACTAATTACACCTATTCACACATACATGATATTTTTCTAGTGAGCTGTTGGTGTATCGCGCAACCTCAGCTATTATAATTGGAACACATATGAGCGTGTAGCAGCTGATCAATATTTAAATAAAATATAATTAAAATTGCTATTAGCTGTAATATTTAGCAAAAGGATATAGCAGTTTGTTGATGTTAAATGAAAAAACTACATATAGAGAAAACAAAAACTGCGTAATTTAACAAGAAGCACTATAAGAACTGATATAAAGCAAACCTTTTGTCAGTTCTCTCGACGGGCAATTCAAGAGGTCCGTGATGTAATTATGTATTTAAAAAAACCATATCGGTGTAATAAGAAATTGTATAACAGATCCATCTAGTAAAAGAATAGGGAACTATTTAAACAATCAATTTATTATTCAAATAGGAACACGATGTATTGTTTATGTTTCGATAATCTTATTATATTAATACTGCTGGAGCTGGCGATTTGTTTGTTTCACTCAAAAAGTCGTACGAAATAAATAGCGGCAAAGTCTTATGCGACATTTTATTTAAAAACATATCTGATTCTCCCAATATATATCTCTGTAAATTCTATATATGGAGCCGTTATCGCTTCTTAAAAGTACATATATATTTCCTGCTCCAAAAACTCATACAGGTCAATGTGCCGATTAAATTCGTAACTACCGATATTTTTTCATATTTATCTGCCGGCCGAAGTGACAACTCGCTATTTGACGATGCGCATTTTAGTTCTTGTCGCGTTAGTAAATTCTGCGTTTGGTGTAAGGATAAATTTCACTAGCTGTCACCATGCCGAGTGGTCATGTGTTAATAATGTACCTAACGAAATTGTCTTCACGTGTTCGTCCGTTAGGAGCAACGTAAGTTGTATTCAAAAATATTTATTAAATTAAGTTTAGTAATTGATAGAATTGAGTATATTTTCTATGGTTCGTCTTAATTGAATAATTAATTCGATTTTTTTTTTTAGGATTTTATCATACATCTTAAGGATTTCTATACAGACCACATCGTTAGTGTAACGATACAAAATTGCCGCGATTTAAGGGTTGTTCTCGATTGTCCTTTGCTGCAAAGAGCATCTCGCTTGAACCAATTCAAAATCAAAGACTGTGACCGTCTTGAATTCATTACTTTATCTGCTACCTCCTCTTTACAAACGCCATCAGAAGTTGTCATAGAGAATGTTAGAGAGATCGTGTCTTTTCCGAGAAATATATTTAAATCACCAACGACCAGTACAGAACTGAAGTGTTCAGGGACTCTACCTATGACCAATTTACGAGTTGTGAACAGTAAAATAAATTCAATCACCACGAAAGCAATTTCCAACACAAACGGAATGAAGACTATCGTATTCGAAAATGTTACAATTACAGATATCCAAACGCAGGGCTTTGAGGCTGTTATGGCAAGTGAGAATTCTATGTTCACAATGACCAATAGTAAAATTGATAATTTGGAATTCAAAGGCATCAATATACAGGCGACAACGGTGAAAATATCATATAATACCTTTAATGAAATAAGTGCTAATGGAATCAATGTAACGGCAGATAATTTCTTTCTCACAGGAAATACATTTAAGGAAATTCATTCCAATGGCATAGTTGTAAATGCTCCCAATATTGATATTGTTAACAATAATATAGCAGTCCTTAAAAGTAACGCCCTGCAAGGAATACGATGTATGAAGAAACGCGTAACCAAAAAGCAAATAACCTTCTCCAAAAACAATATAGAACGCATCGAGCCATACTCCCTCTACTTCAATTACGGAAGTTGCAAAACTTCTGGTGCGCAAGTAATATTTCGCGAAAACAAAATAGACTGCAAATGCCGAAATATCGCATTCTTGAATACGCCAAGTACCAGCGAGTTGAACGGATTAATTTTAAACACAGCTAACAATAATACATGTTTCTCAGCGCCGTGTATATTGCCTATAGATATCGTTAAGCTGCTACAAGAAAGCGATATGTGTCATCTGAACCTTGACCCAAAAGTTATGTGTTTATTGTATTACGATAAGCATTCTAATAATACTAATATCGACGTGAATACAGACGAAGATGTGACGGAGCCCGCGCCTACATTTTACTTGATAAGACAGGCTAACTCCCTAGCCGGTGACGCAAGCGCAGCTATGACAGCTATTGATAAGGATGATCTTCTACGGGATAGCCATATGAATATGACGAATAGAACTACTGTTAAAGTTGTCTTTGATTCCTCCAAAGACTTCGTTGAGACGCTGAGAAGTACAGGGAGATCTAGAAGTAGGCAAGAAGCTACGAAATCACCGCCGAGAGAAGAATATATAAATAGATGTGTTGGCAGCCATTGCAGGAGTAATGCTTACGATAAGCAAAAAGCGTTGGATTTTTACAAATATGTATACGCGCAGTTACGCACACCACGAGAAAATGATAACAAGAAAAACAAAATTTAATTAATACTATCGTTGTTTTGATAAACTGTTTTTAATTTTAACTATCTTTTGCCCCTTAATATACGCACAGGTTTGTAAACATATTTTACTTATCAATTACTGTAAAACAATGTTGCAATTTAAATAGCTGCTATTTAAATGTCATATTTTTTTAGATTTAGAAAAAACATGAGACAATAAATTTAAACAAATGTTTCCAGTGTTAGCGGCTGTGTTAGGCGCAGCGCCATTCCTCGGCCCATATTTGGCTGGCATCCCTGCGGCATTAGATGTATGGCTTCAAGGCAGGCCCATGGCGGCCATTATGCTTCCAATTGCGCAGGCGGCGCCTATCGCGTTTTTGGACGCCGCTGTGTATGCAGAGATTAAAGAGTAAGTTACAACACTATTGTTTACTTTAAGTATAGTAATATAGATAAATAATGTTATCGGCAACTAGAAAACAACACGTTTGGTTTGGGCATCACCCGTATATCACGGGTGTTACAATCTAACGTAACAATTACGGACCGTATCAACACCGGGAAAATCTTTCGTTGACAGCTCTAAAAATCTTATGGCAGGCGACTTTTGATGAAAATACCGTATAGCGACCACAGTCTCTATGTTTCTGTACGAAGAATATTGTTTCTAATTTTCATCGAACTTTGGTAAAATTGGCCAAATACTTCTTCGTTGCTTTTCTTGAATATTACTTTCGAATCATTTCATGTATTTTTTTATAATGAGGCGACAGGCGACATCGTTGTCCGTCGAGAGCGGGTAATAAGTGAAATGAAAGTTTATAACGTGGTGTTTATTTTTTTGTCTTATGACGGAACGTTTATATATCCAAGTGCGAAATAATCTGGCAACTTTAAATAAAAATGTCTGATAAAAATAGTCGCGTTTTTATTTGATGAATTGTATTTTTAATTTAGATTTTTTATATATAATTGATTATCATTTTTATTTTCAGTGGTGGTCACCCCTACGTAACTGGTTTAGCCATCGCCGGCGGTATCTTCTACTTAGGTCCCGAAGGTGCCATCCTAGGTCCACTCCTTCTCTGCTGTCTCATGGTTGTGCTCAATCTTTCCTCCTCCTTCCTAAGAGATACCCCAGCAGAAGAGAGAGCGGCCTTGCACTCCCGCGTCAGGTAAACTTTGGTCTGAGTCGCCCAAAATTTGTATTGTAGTGTCATAAACTTATCTGATCCAGTATCTTATTCTGACCTAAATACTACGTAACGCCGTATATAGAAAAATAGTAAAGTAGAAATTATCGTTAGTTCGTAAGAACGAAGGTCAGTGTTCAGATTGATTTGGTAAAAAAAATTAAATGGTGGTTCAGATATGTTTAGCACTATTGGTTATTTTCCCGTGTGATTTCAATTGTAAATATTTACCTGTTTTCGTATTTTGTTATGATCGTTCTCAATATAAACTATCTGCAAGCCTCAAATACTGTAGGCCGGTCATGAGTAATTTTTATCTATAACCCTAAGTATAAAGAATTATGAGGACTAAAAATAAAACTAATTCAGGCTCGTAGTGTGTTTATGAATGAGTGGGATTTAGTTTTATGGTCGCGGTTGCAAGAAAAAAAAATGTTTTTATTTGTTTTTTAAATGGATTTTATACGAAAGTTACGTTTTAATAAATCACGTTGCAAAATTTGTCGAACTATACGAGTTGCATGAAATACATGCGTGTTTTTAAACTGGTATTTCCATGTTTTTATTCAGTCTATTTAATATCTATTTAGAAAGGCGTTATTTTTTTAAATAAAACAAAACCACATTTGGAAGCGTTCAAGTATTCGCAATTTTTGGAGATTATTAACCCGAGTTATTATTCAACAAAAACATTTCACGTTGAGGCACCTAAACAATGCAATTGTTATCAAAAAAATTGTGGTTGTGACACAAACTGGTCAACATACAATTTCTCCTTCTACCGTCGACATTCGTTACAATAATATTATAATACTTTATTAAACAGAAATAAACTAATAAATGAATGAAAGATATAATAATGATGTGTATATATATAGTATAATTATATATAATAATATAATAATAAACGAAGCATAATAATAATTGGTTAAGGTTATAGGTACAAAATGTAACAGCAGGAATAAAAAATATTTGATTTTTATCTATATATATAAAACTATGGTTTAATTTTACATTCAATTATAAAAACTGTGAATTTTCTTATATCATTTCAAAATTTGTCCTGATCTGTACCAATAATTGATCAGACTAACTAAAAATGCATGCGTCATGGTCCTTAATTGCTTTTAAATGAACGAACTATAAGTTTAAATTGTACAACTTTACAGCTGATATTTCACGTTAAAGGTCACGTGCGAGGGGTTAATGACCCCTGTTAGGAGTTCACAATTTCTATTTTTGGTTTGTTTGATGTATAAAATAATTTCATTTTTTTAATAACATTTTCTCCTTCATCTAGCTCATTATTGGGATGTTTTGATTGAGGTGTGTATTTTTCTGCGCTTTTGCATGGTTATATATATTACATTATTATTATTAGTATTGGATAATTTTAATTCCGCATGAAATTTATGCAGTCTTAATGAAGATTTATATTTTCAGATATGGCGCTTATCTATAAGATTGCATGGACTAACAAATAGGCGTCAAATTGTGGGATTAATTTATTGATTTTTGCCGCAAATTCCCTGTTTAATACATTTTTTATTCTATATATAGTCCGAGAACGTGTGGTCTCTACATTTAAAATTAGGTTGTAATAATGTTGCCATACTTCCTCAAATCTCCCCTATACGTGGCAAAATCTTAATTAGGATCAGCCTTGGGGCTTTGGTTGCTACATTTAGTATATATTACAGGGTCGCGTTTCTTCGTATTTGTTAATGTTTCTTAAAATGAACAAACAGGGTTTTTGCTAAAAAAAAATATAATATTTATTTTGTAACGAAATTACGCTTTTATACGTGAAACTTCATTGAGCCTTCAACAACTGTCAAATCATATTTTCAATTTGTGACATATTCGACAGCGGAAATTGTGGTTTGATATACCTATTGGAATACATACCTAAGAAGATTTACGAGAAACTTTTTAGGAGCTTTAAGAAGCTAAAATGATCTTACTTATGTTAGGAACCGAACTACCATATAGACTTCTTAGAGCGTTAAAGCTATTTATTCTATAACTGATATTAATTACTAGTCAAGCACAATCCTACTAAATTTATTTCTCATTTTTATTTTATATAATTAGTATTTTTATGTATATGTAGTTATTGCCTGATCCATATTAAATACTTTTCCCTCCATAAACAGGCTTAGGCAGTGAATCAGCGTTGTAAAACTCAATGCAACTGGATTCGATTTCGAAAAAGTTGTTTTCCAAATTTAAATAAGGCTTTTTATTATTAAGTCGCTTATGCCGGTGCTGAAAATCGGCTAAATGAAGTCAATGATTATCTGTGTCCATGGCGTGAGTTGAACAGTGTCTGTGACAGATTGTATTGCAAATTATTTGAGGGGAATTATCATACAGGCCAACATAATCAGACAGACAAAAACAAATGGGAATATTTTAGACAATCTAGATTCCTCTAATTATAGCTAATTTGTTTTACTAGTGCTGTGTAACAGTATTAACATACGAAAAGCTTACTCTTGTAAGAAAAACCAAATATTAACATTTTTAGTAATAATTGATGGTAATTATAATATACATGTAATGAAAATGCTTAATCGTTAGTATATTTAAATAATTGTCGTGTTTATAACATTATTGTAACAAGTGATAATTAGATCTAGATAAGGCTTAGCCATGTATTAAAAGTTTTAGTCAAATGTTTTACACTATTTAACACCTTCACTGTCTTATTATTGCGCTTTGTTTTTTAAAAAACTATTTAACCGTACTCGACATATTAAATGATCTCGATCATTTTATCTAATTAGTTAACGACTGAATCAAAGATCATTACTATCCTATCTATTTGTGATTGGTTCTGTATTGAAATGATATTAATGTTGAACAACTAGGAGTACGGCTTACTATCTTTTCGCGACACAAGATGGCGTTGCAACTTTTTTATAAAAATAGCAGTAAAAAATTTTTATCTCAGCTTTTATAGTTATCGCTATTTATGTGTTATTAAATAGCTGTTAGCTTTGTTCTAATTCTTTATTTCAGATATGTTAGTGCCAATTCTACACTATATTATTTGCCTGTAGGTAAGGGCCCTTGAGATTTTTTATGTAGTTTATGATTATTACTGTAATATGTATGTCGTAATATTCATATAATATACGCAACAATTTCCTCTTAATTCCACTATGTCAATATTATTACGAATGCGAAGACAAAATAAACTTTGTATTCTTATTATTAAACAAATTAATATATTAAAATAATTGTATAATAAATGTATTACATCAACGTATTGAGAATGTGACTATCCAACTCCAACGTATACCACAGATAATAGAATAAGAGTGACTTCGCGCGGTGTCAATTAAAAAAATCTTTACGGTTACTTACTTTTTTTATTATCATTCTCTATGGCTTACTTTTTATCTATGAGATTTTACTATTATTGTGCAATATAAGTTCAATGCCGAAGTATAGTCTATTTACTTTATTATGATGTACTTTATATGTGTAATTGACATTTCAATCCGTTGATTTAATATGAAATAGATGTGTACGAAATCATTAAGCCCTTACCAGTTCAAGAAAAAGTCGTCCAATGTTTACGTTAAGATTATATTGCGAATAAGTTTGTATTAAGCACGCGTAATCAGCAATATATTGTTTTGCTTTAGAACTGTGTTTTATTACAGCATTTTCCTTTAGTTTTATCAAATCCATTGGTCCATTATTAGTCACACGCATATTCCTTAGGAAAACAAATAAAATAAAACGTTTATTCTACAGCGATAGATTTATGAAAACTTAAATAAAAGTATGTACACTGAAGCTTAGCTGTCCCTCGGAGTACGAGATGGATTGAACTCCGTCTTCACGAAATGACGATGATGAGGCGGCGGTTCACAGCGCCCCTTCCTCTAGGAAAATGTTACACAATCTGTTCGGTACAAACCGGCAAAATTCAGTAAAATAAAACCACTTGAAGAACCGTACCTACTGCGATCATTAAAAAAATTGTAAAACTTAAGGAACGTTTAGGAACTCTCAGTAAATAACTTTCCGATAGATTTATATCAATCATATAAGTTATCGTTTTGTAATTTTTTTGCTAAAAAGCATTCTATAGCGACAAAATTAGCTATGTAAAATAAATATATTGTTGCATAACAAAATGTACATGATTTCTTAATGATTATAGTATTGATACGATATTCCCCGCTGTATCACATTTTTGTTAATATTGATTTTAGTAGTAAAGTATATATTGGTTACGGGATCCGTCAAAATTAAACCATTGTCACTAAATCGGCCTTCCACTTCTGACTCCAACCATAGAAACAAGACGACACTATCTGTTTCTATACTGATTATGAATTTAGTTTCATCTGCTGCTTGGATAGTGGGTCTCTGGAGTTTTATCTGTAAAAATGTTTTCGGGACCATAGAATTTTTTTTAAAAAGCGAAATGGAGATATATATAAAATTGATGAAGTTTCAGATTTCCTGAACTTACCTTTATTCGAGGTGTTTGTAAACCTTTAACATTTTTCAATGGTATCGGAAAAACGAAATTTTGTGGAGACCACAAAGCTCCATTATATTTAAGCGAGAATCTTATGAAAACCTCGTCCTTGCTGTCGTTATTCCATATGTTCAATCTTGTCTGTTTTGAGCTAGACAAAATCTTTGCATTTGCAGGGTAAGTTTTATTAAATATAGGTGTTAAACTAGTCCAGTTAAATACATCTACGATAATTTCTGCACCAGTTAGTGGGACAAATCTATCATTGATTAGGTACACGTCGACATTGCCAGTTAATGTCAGTCGAGGTGAAACCAAAACTGGTGCGAAAAACCGCTTTGCGAAGAAGTGCAGCATTTTCCATTTACCGCCATATTCTGGAATCAACATTTATAATTAGATTATGTAGTCATTAAAACCTAAGCATTTAATTCCATTATACATATAAGTATATAAATCTTATTAATTATATTAAAAAAATTTAAATGTGTTTATTCATTTGACAACAATTCATTATAATGCGTAAGATTTCGGAAGTAAAAAAATTCCTGTCAGTAGTAATACTTATCTGTAGACTAGGTAACTCATTAGTACGCCTTAAAACAGTTTCGTACTTTTTTTTATTAATCAGAGAGCAAAAATATTCTTACCAATTCCTGACCAAGAAGGTGCTTGCCATACATCATTAAGTTGCCAATATAACGCTCCCATTGTGTACCAGTCAGCTTGACTTTGACGATAGAACTCGGTTTCCGCCTTCATTGACATTGCTTGACTTATCTAAAAATGTTGAAGGAATAACATTGATATACAAAAAACCCAAGATGCACAGTCTCGAATAAAAGTAACGCTCGAAAGTGTCCCGAAACACTATTTCTGTCCATAACAGTATATGTTACAAGGATATATTATTGCAAAATCAACCTTACGCGAATTGCTTAAAGTTGTTATTACAACGCAGTGTATACGTACTTAAAGCAATAAAATTTTACGACCGACTGTGGTCGGTAGGACAAGGTATTGAGTGGAGTCGAACATGACTTTTTTATTTACAACTATTTAACATAATTTTAAATTTATCCGACTTTTCGGGTGCTTTACAGCGTGAGTGGTCACGGTGACTGAAGACAAAAGGTGTTGGATGTTAAATAGTTGTAAATTTATAATAATACATAACATTAATCCGGTTAAAAAGTTTTTTCTTTAAATTAAAAAAAAAATGTTAAATTGGCTACCTCCTGACCCACACTTTATATAGCGTAAATATATTTGTCAAAAACTACACACAAAAAAGTTCAAGAGTACATAAATTTATTTATAAAAAAAACACAAATAAATAACATCGACTCCACTTATAGACGCGAGACTATTTGAAATGAGCGCACAATTTAGAATGTTGCGCTCATTTTTTGAGGACGTTTTTTTGACGTTGAGTGTGCATCTTGGGTTTTTTGTATATCAATGAGGAATAATTAATAAAGCTGATGACAGACAATTAGGATAATAATCTAACGTCTAAAACGTAATGGATTCTGACATACTGAAGTCAGTCGCGTTTTTGAATTTTGGTCTGAAAAAAAGGCGTTCCAGATCTTTTAGCCAATTTCATCAAAATATCGATTAAATCATAGAAAATAAAATGATACTCGGCTTGTGTATTCGTAGTGATATTTCACACATACCGTTATATAGTATTATCAAACATACCTGACTGTAGAAAACAAACTTCTCAAAATATTTGCTATCATTTGTATCTAACTTCAAATGTTTGGTGAGTTGCAGTTCAATGTTATTATTTCCATTTGGACTGTGCTGTCTATGTTTGGAATATTCGCTGTCTAACCGAAAATCGTCACTTCTATTCGTCGCGTCTGTCATTGTTTTTAGCGATGGGAAAGACTGGAAGCCGTATTCTGAAGCGAATCTTGTTTTAGGATAGATATTGGAGTCCCAATTGTCTGCTATATAATTATAGTAATGCGTATCACCGTAATGTGGGTCATACGGGTTCAGAGCTACATATCCATCTTCTTCAGATTGTCTGCCATTTGACGGGCTTGAAACTAGGTATCGTCGACCAGGATCCAGCATCTCCACTATGGGCTTTATAGTATCTACGTAGAGTTTGATGTACTCCTCCTTATACCTGTCGAAGTCTGGCTGAGTTTTATACCAATTTCCTCTGAGAGCTACTTCATTCTCGTTATTGCCAGCCCACACAGCTATTGAAGCGTGGTGTTGAAGACGCTGCACATTTTGTTCGATTTCTAATTTGACAGTTCTGAAAAAGAAAATTATGTTATTTACCCACAGCATAATTTGTCAAAAATTCCAATGTTTGACTGACTAAATATTTTAAAAAAAATTGTCTCTTTCTGGAAAGCTGTGAAGTGATTGCGCTTTATCTAATAAAGACAGATCAATGCTTTTTTTGTAACAGTGTAACATTGATTTATTTTATGTACCAGGATTTTGTTCACCTCTTTAATATGGCGTTATAACAACTAGGAAGAAGCTGGGAAACGCAACAAGGAATTATTCGAACAAAAGTTTTAAAACTCACTCCAAAAATTCTTTATCTGTTGGATACATGGCACAGGCGAAGAGAAAGTCTTGCCATATTAGTATCCCGAGCTCGTCACATCGCTGGTAGAAGTAATCTGACTCGTAGACCCCACCGCCCCACACTCTCAACATTGCCATGTGTGCATCACGTGCAGATTCAAGGAGATTGTCAACTATTAACAAAGATTAAATCATTATTTTGGTAAAATTAACATTTGCAGTGAATACTTGCACAGTTTAAAGAAAGATACGTTTATATGTCAATATCACGCCGGTGCCGGCGACGTGGCGTTGTGCGAAATCATGATGCATCATTAATTTGTGTATATCATGACAAATTGAACTATTTACTCAAAATATAATGGTATGTTTCGTTAGCTTAAAATATTAGTAGCTTAATATAGTATACCACATTTTGCTATAAAATTTTTGAGCGGCTACTTAAAAACTGTATTTAAATGACGATAACTTTTATCATGAACCTCAATTATAAACATCTAGGCATGTTATTTCAAATTATTGCGAAACCTTAGAAAAGTTGACTGACATGGTGAACCACGGTTATAACGCAATATTATTTTGAATTAAATTAATTAATACCTGTCTTTTCATCGGCTCCCAGTTCGGGAAGTATATGGGCTGGAATCCAGTTGGAGCCTTTCATAAATATGGGATATCCATTCACTTTGAAGAAGAACGTCAGTCCTTGACCGCCAGTCGTGTTTCCTGTTAAAGGAGTTATAGAGGCCTTAGTTCGTTTTAAATTCACCTGTCACATTTCAGTCACTAGCGCGCCGAAAAGCTCACCGTAATCCCACATACCTATGTGAAAAACCTGGACTTCAGACAACATTTTCTGTCAGTTAGGGCATTAATTACAATTTTGAGATTAAAATGTTATACAAAGACTGATACGTTACTTTAACAGTTTGTGCAATTTATTGCGTATTGTTGTAAAAACATCCTTAGTGTAGACCCAGGATTTGGTATATTCAACCTACTGTGTTAGATCACCAACGATGATAAGTTTTGAGAACAACGCCGGTGATGCAACTATTTAAAATAATTGCCAAAACGACGTTAGTTGAGATGTAGCACGGCGCTATTCTCATTTTACTACATCGAAATTTCATACAAAAACGTCTTGCTTATTACAAAAATGAATATACCAAGGACAGTAGACGCGTCTGCTTCAACAAGTTCCACTGTGCGAAAGCCAATCTTTAACTTCTTCTGGGACAGTTCATTTTCTTCGTTTGTCAGACTTATTTTAAGGTCATATAAAGGATGCTCCCCGTACCCATTGGGCCACCATAGGGAGACCACATTCTGTTAAAAAATAATAATATTAACTTTACTGGATTCACCTAAGTTTTGTCAGAAAAATCAACCGTACTCCGAGTACCCCATTTAATTATCTGTAATAATAGATATCTAATAAAAAAAAGTATTTAAGATAAGATGCTTATAATAAATTATAAAAAATATCTTACAAATTAAATATAATAATTATAATTACGAAATAAATTGTTTTTTTTAGCTTAAATATACCTGAGATAGACTACGTATTTCACGTCCTTGATTGCGCACGCAAAGAAAACTATTCAAATACACGTTATACATTTTACATGCATAAAATAATAAATAAATAAAATAAAAAAAGCCTTTTTATTTCTTGAAAAATAACACTTAATCATATTATATTGTTTTTTTATTTTATGAAATTAAATCACTTTTTTTCCTATTTTTATATCTATTTCCTAATTATTTTGCAAGAACCATTCCGCAGGTGAAGGCCTCTTCCAAGGATCCAGCTTGAGCCAGCCGTTTTAGCAATGTCATGATATGACATACACCTAACTGTCTTAAAACAATCTTATTATCTAGAACAATATAGTTATCGCGAACATTCGTGCTTCAAGCAAAAACCAAATTTTGTATAAAAAATAAATATAGTGGCGCTAAAACCTCTTTAGGTCTTGGCCTCAGATTTCTGAATCTGTTTCATGATCATTTTTAAATCTAATAGGCAAGTAGGTGATCAGCCTCCAGTGCCTGACACACGACGTCGACTTTATGGGTCTAAGACATGTCGGTTTCCTCACGATGTTTTCCTTCACCTATCTAGCAGATGTTAAATGCGCACATAGAAAGAAAGTCCATTGGTGCACAGCCGGGGATCGAACCTACGACCTCAGGTATGAGAGTCGCAGAACCTTATCAAATCTCTTGTTGAATTTAGAAGAAAAAATAAAAATTCAATTTTTAACTCTTTAAAATTATATTATGCTTAGACAATACCATTTACAAAAGATATTGTATATATACATTCATATTGTCACAATTAACTGCCTAAACTCATTTATAACTCGTGTTAACCTTAAAAAACCAACTTAGTCCGACCGTTATAATATATAAATAAAATGTCAATATTATTTTAGTATATTAAAGTTCATGGAAACGAGTACCTTGTATAAACTAGGTTAATGTTTCTTATTTATTCAAAAGTTTTTACATATTCAAAAGCCTACGTCAAGTTCAGTTATGCTAATAGCCACATACCAATGTGTCAAGCTTCTAAATACAAAATAACGTAAGGTCACCGGAAAGCAATATGGCTAAATGTAATTATTTTATTAAATTTAATATTTTTTAAAACGTGCATCTTTAAGAGTAGAGAATTATTATTTTTTTATAAAGTTAGATGGATTTTAATGTAATGTTGTATGACAGAATTTTTTGACTACCCATTTTGGAAAATTTTGGGGCGTTTTTTAGTTTTGTGCCATAAAAATATTTATTATTTCACAAATTAAGGTTCATCCTAAATAATAAAACTAAGTGTTTTTATATTTTTAAAGTAATCTTTTAATTAAATTTTATTGAATATTAATTAACTCAAATTTTTTAATTAATTGACTATTTTTGATTGAATAGCCCCATTATTTTATGAAAAATCAAATCACTATAATTTTATATTTAAAAGTAATTCACTATCTATTTATAAAATATTTACTTTATCTTATATTTTTTTAAACTTATATATTTTTTTTTAATAATTTAATTGAATTTATTTAATAGAAAACTTAATAATAGTGTTATTAAAGAATTAGGGTGAAAAATAATTCAAACTATAAAACTATAAAGCTTTAATAAGTTAGATTTTTTAATCTAGAACAGAAGATACTTACGATCTCCATGAATCTCTAATTAAAATTATAAAATTACTACTATAATATTATTAGGTTTAATGATTACTACATAATTGATTATTAAATAATATTATTAATCACTAGACATTAAATTTAAATTTATTTAATTCAAAAATAATTTAAAGACTGGTTTTTTACTTACTTTATTTATCTATTATACTTACTGTCCTTAATTTTATTTATTATAGAAATTTAAAACCTTTTACTATAAATTTATTTTTAATAATGATTTTAATTTTTATTAAATCAGACTAATAATTTTTGTCTTTATGAATTTTTTTCAGAAGATTTATGATAAATTTATAGTAGTATCTTAAACTAAATATGGGAGGCAGTGATTGCATAAAATTTAAATTAATTTTTCTAAACTGAGCTTATTCCCAATAGATACCAATTTCAGATACTGTATGTGAAACTATATATACCCTTATTCCTATAATTAGATTACAAAAGTCATTTAACTATATTGATTACTCAAGGTGGGGTAAATTAACTTTTAGTTCTTATTCAACAGAATGTAAATTATTAATAACTTAACCTATTTTTAGTACTTTATTGGAACTATTATAAAGCATGGAATAGTAATTATTTAAACAACCATCATAATTATATAATTAGAGAGACAAGTACCAATTTATAAATTTTTAGTTTTTGCGGGTGACCTTACTATTAACATATTTGCTTCAAGCATGAATATTCGCGATAACTATATTGATCTAGATAGTAAAATTATTTTTGGATCATAACTTTTGCAACTAATGTATATGTATCAATTTATTAAAAGATTACTTATGAAGGAGTGTTGGCCTAGTGGCTTCAGCGTGCGACCCTCATCCCTGAGGTCCGAGATTCCATTCCAGTGCACCAATGGAGTTTCTCTGTGCGCATCCAACACTCGCACGTAAGGTGAATTAAAAGCTCGTGAGGAAACCGGAATGTCTCAAATCCAAGTCTATTAAATGTGTCAGATAGAACGGAGGATCTGTGAGGCCAAGATCCATTTACGGGATCCATTAGCGCCACTGTATTATTATTATTATACCATTACTTATTGCTTACCACACTTATAGTCATATTAAGCTCCACTTCTGTTCCATCTTCCACGCTTGAGATATTCAAATGCTTTCCTACTGTAAGAGACTGGTCGGCGTCTACAGACAACTGCGCACTCAAGAAACCTCTGATATTTTTTGTTCCATTCAACGTAGCAATTATTCTGAGATACCAATGTGATTTATCTCTATGCGTGTGAGTTGTAACGCTTCGTATTAACGCGCCGTTGTGAAACATAATAGAAACGTTTTTCCTGAAAATGATACTCAAAACTCAAACTCAAAATAACTTTATTCATAGGTAGGTAACCAAGTACACTTATGAACGTCAACAGAAAATAAAATGTTAAATTGATTATAAATTTAACATCTTTTCTGTTGACGTTACGATAGATATACGTGTATAAGTAAGGACATAAAATCACAGATTATATAATAGTTCTGGTTTTCATAACGTAGTTTAGAAAAGCAGTTATATTATTGCAGACGGGCCTTGCCCTGATCGAGCAAGAACCTCCAACCTCCTCCTCGGTCCTAATATGTGGTTTTTGCTTCCAATTCTTAATTTCCAACCCTTGGAAATAATGCTCATCACCATGCAGCCATCGTAACTTTCGAATTTTAATCTGTATGCTTTTGATGATCGTCTGGTTCGCCATATAAGTATTTATAATGGAAAAATTTAATATGATGTCATCGATATTGGTAGTCTTTTGTTTTTAACTATTCATAAACAAAACATTATAATTTATTCTATATCATTTTACATGCCGCTGAATAAGCAAGCAATATTCGTTATAGCTGACATGACTCTAACATAACTCTATAGTACTATAAATTTAGTAGGCAATAAGTTTTCTTTATCCTTAAGGTGGGAACTGACCAACGTTACGAGGTGTAATGTAACATGTAATGTAATGTTGCACAGCGAGCATTCGTGCAGTCAGTACGTCGTGTTACGGGGAAACCAGCGAGCAACGAGCCGCTCGTTGCTCGCTTTGAGTGCTCCACCCGGCTGTCGGTTTTTTGGCGAATCCTTTGACTGTTACGCGGTTCAGTAATTACGCGTCGCACGTCGCGAGTCATCATAATTATGATTTTCTATAAATTGTGTCTTTTTTAAGTACTTATGGTCCAATTAAATTCAACAGTTCTTCAAAATCGAGACCTGCGTACAAAGTTTTTATACTGTCCAGTAATCATTTGGTTTTTAATATTGCAATCAATAACAAACCACCTCATACGCCTGTGTTTTTAAATAAGTTTTATGTCCAGTAACATTTTTTCTTCTTCTTAATTTGGATGAAACAATAATTAAATAGAATGAAAGATATCAACATTATCACTATCACATCTCGTGAACACTGGCGGCGAAAGATGAGCACAGAGTTTTGACGAGCATGTTCTACGAACGAATTTGTTTAATGATTCAATTAGTTCAATTAAAATAAAATTTTCGTCGCAGTTATAAAGTACATCTACTCAACAAAAATCCCACGAAATCTAGTTTCTAATCCGCCCAAAAATATTTATTTATCTATTTCCTAACAATTATTCTTATTTTTTATTTACTATGTAAAAGACACAAGACTTCCTTACACTGATAATTTTTAATATTATTATTATTCATACTTTTTCTTTTTTTGCGTCTGAAGCGCAAACTAGCTGTTGTGGTCTCTGGCAGAATGACCAGCGCTGAGGAACACGTCTGCTCCTCAGCATAATGCTGAGCCAGCGCCAGTTACAACCACAACACAGACATTACACACTTAAAGTGTACCTTATTCTTTAAAAAAATTTTTTCTTTTTTGTTGATTATGATTATTTTGTGTGTGTGTTTCGTTAGTAATAAATGTTATATATCTATGTATATTTCTAGTTAAAGAATTTCATTTGCAAAGCTACTACTAGAGTGATAAGTAGGTTGTGTTATTAACGTTAGTATTAATAAAATAGAATAGTTAGGGAGCCGCTCAGGGCTTCTTAGTTAGGCCAACGCTATGTAACGTTGTGTTTTCTACTTACTGTACATAAGATTTAAGAATTCTTCACAATTTTTTGAGATATAAAGAGTTGCTTGTTTTGCCCTTGCTGTATCATATGAAAGACTCTTACCATAAGCCGACAGAAGGAAAAGCTGGTCCCCAATCCCAACTAAACGAAGCTTGCATCTTCCTTAGTTGATTAGCGTGACATTCTCCATGATATTCTTCTGGCACGCATTCGGGGGCTGTAAAGTGCTTGCTTGACCGTTCTTTAGCTGCGTCTATTGGTGACATAAAGTTAAAAATCAATTCGTTTTCACCTTCCTGAAAATAACGTTATACTTACGTATACATACAAGAGCCCCTGATGCGCAGAAGTATTATAACTAAATTCGCAACATGTGGGATAAATTAATAGAGATGTAGGATGTTAATTATTATCGTAATTTTTTAATTTATGGGTACATAAAACTGGCCAGTACAGAACACTGGTTACGATAATTTAAATAACAGTTTTGATCCATAAAAACCATAATTTATAGGATATTTGGGATAACATGGCTTTAGGTTGTGAATACTGATTCGCAAGCTTTTGTTTCCTACGTTTCCAAAGTTTCGTACTGACAACTGTGAACTGACATCTTTCTACTCCAAGAAATCAATCTTATTTAGCTATAATTGATAAATAAATACATGCATGTTTATTTGTTTAGTATTTACACTTCGTTACCTTAAACATACATATAAAACAGGTTACATAAGTTATTAGGCAACGGACGGCCTTATCGCTAACAAGCGATTTTTCCAGACAACCCTAGTATGGAAAAATAAAAAAAGAAACACCAACTGAGGGTAAAGTACATAAATTACATAACTACTAACTAAAACTAAGCTAAACTAAAAGTTAATAAGTCATAATTAATATTAGTAGCTAATTACGAGGCAGAAGAGAAATGCTCAATAAGAAGATTCTTAAATAAATTTAAAGACAGCACATCTGATATCAAGAGGTAAGGAGTTCCAAAGCAGGGTACATGTTATAATATATTTGGGATTAAAAAATACGCGTGCATTATCATAAATTACACACTTTCGATCTAAGCTTAATTGTGTCAAAGGCATATGATAGATGTTAAGATCAAGGTAATCCATACGTCAAATATTTAACTACAACTATTAATGAGCATTGCGAAAATACAAACCTTGATATATTGTCTGATGTCGAAAATATATTTTACGAACATGTTGTTTGTAAGGCCAATGGGGATGCCGTTCACTTCTAAGAAACTGATTGTATCCACGCCTTCAAGAATTAAATCGGACGAAATATAATTCAAATGTTCAGAATTGACTGGAAAAGAAAATGTCTAGGTTTATCTAACTGAAATAGAAGTTTCCTAAGTTCTTGCTGTTTTTTTATAAGGTCTAATTTATATATTCAATTTTATTTAGATTGGAACGTCATGAAGTTACAGAAAAATTTGTAAATAATAGAAAGCAATGAAACAATCTTGTTTTAGGGTCAAAGTTTTGAAGAGCGCTAAGTGGTATTTTCTCTGTTACGAAAATGACACACGTGGAAAAACGTGTCTAGTGCATGGAACACTTTGGTCTTACTAACTGAGTAAACTTAACGTCAACAACTTTAAGTAAACAAAAATTACTTTGAAATCTGCTTTTGTAGGTCCAAGAATCGTAAGCCACCCAACGTGTGAGGACATCGTTGAATCCATGTAGAATATTGCTGATAATACCCTCCTTTTGCAGGTCGGAGTATATCCCTCCCGGTACTGTAGCGGGGATTGATATAGCTGTAACAAAGGTTTCTGAAGTATAAGACAACGCTGCACATTACATTTGCTTACAGATTCTAAAGGCTAATATGATCAAGCGCAAAAAATATTTATTGGTCAAAGCTGGAGATACGCCATCTTTATTAGTTTGTTAGTGGAGTAACCTATTGCGGAATACGGGACACATAAAACTATTATCTGTAGATATTTCGTGACTTTTATAGTAAAATAAGCAAACTAGGTCTTACGAGGAAACAAATTCTAGTTTTTCCGACCCTTGTGTGAAATTTTTTTTTTTCGAATATTATAAAAAC